GTATTTTCACAGATGCAATTAGGATGACAGCCTCCACATTCTGAGAAGTGGCAGAAAGTCAATTAAACATGCTGCCGCTAGAGGGCAGTTTTAAACTGCTAGGATGTTACACATCCTAACGCCTGGTCTCAGCTTATAAATTGGGTAGACATAACTATGACACTTGTGGGCATGAAAAATGAATACTCCTGAGTGCCGTAGCTAAGCTAAAATAAGCCCCCACATAGCCATTGATTCTTCCTCAATCTTGCTACTGCTACTTGGGGAGGTGGGTTACTTACATCGACAGAAAAATCCCTTCCATCACTGTAGAAGCATATTCACTATGACACTGCTTGGCAAAGCTACACGACCAAGCTTTTCAGTAGTTACAAGATACTGGAAGGGGAAAGAGCAGAAACAATTTCTGCTTTGAATTTGCCAATCACAGGGCTGGATCATGATATTTTTTAAAATATCCCTAAAATTTGCAGGGGCTCGATTCTCTCTTATTGGAGCAAGTTAGGACCCATAACTCAAAGCAAAAGTTTAGTCAAAGCTTTGCCTGTTTCTTGGGTGGAAATAGCCCTTTTCTAAGGCTCTCCCTCAGAAGCCAGAAGGAGGCCCGGGACATCTTGAAATGATGTGAAACTGGCTGAGAGAGATCATTCTGTGTGCACATTTCACCAGGTCTGGCTACAGAAACTTCATGTTACTACTGAATTTATCACTTCTCCCAGACCGTTTTTCCCATGAACCCTGCCCTGTGTTATGGCACGGAGACGGGTCAAGCAGCCTCACCTTTATCCCCTCGATTCTGAATCCCAGCGTTGCTGTTGAACTAATGGTCTCTCTCCACTGCATGTATCGGGGCTTGGTTACTGCATGCTGTTCATTCTCCTCCTCGGTTGGGGCATTAGGGTCTACTTCAATCATCTTCTGATACATGTCCTTCCGCAGGCTTGGCTTCTTTCTGGCCTTAGTTAGCTCTTCCTCCAAATACGTTCTGTAAAGGAAGTGGAAGGATTATGAGCAGTTGATCAATGTGGTACAGTTCCAATGTATCAGGATCACTGTCTAAACATGTTAATAGTGCCAAGGAGGGATGGCTGCCCTTACTCAGGGACTGATCAACCAATACAGACCCTAACAGGAAGTCCAAGTGCCTTCAACTCCCAATGACTTCGCTTGGAAACAAAAGCACTCAAGATCCTCCCAAGGACCAAACCCTAAAGAGGCAGTGCCTTACAGGCAATTTCCAAAGAGCAAGAATCCGCAACATGGGGTTTGCAATAAATATGTAAACAGGTCTCCCATGCCCAGGAGCCTCATGACATGCAAGTGAACTGGGGCCCCAACTAAAAACTCAACATTAGCAACCCGAGATGTGGTATAAGAAGAGTCCATCAGCTACCATACCACAGTGCTCTCCAGTTACACTGAGAAAAGAGATGCAGAAGGCAAATGCAGCATGCACAGAAAAGCTTTTTATTTCCATCCCACCTGCCATTATTCAGAGCTCAGCCCACAGACAGACATTACAACTCAGGTGAACCCCAAAATGTTCTGATTGAGAACATGATCCAAGGGCTGGCTCCACAGGAGGCACTTTGCCATTCAAAGAGGGGAAACACAGGACACTTGTACTGCCATAATGCCTACAGCAGTGATGGGCAGCCGAAACTAGTGAGTGGGCCACAACATTGGTCCTCCATCATCATCCAACATTGTCATAACCAAGACAGTCACTCTGGATGGGGTCGTTTTGCTACTGCACTTGAGTCCCTAGATTTGCCGGATGTGCCGATTGAACCTCTTTGATTGGATGCAGAAGTAGCACATGGCTTTCACAGTCAATGTTGTGTACAGTGAGCATGTACCTCATTTCACATTCCCTTGCTTTACTTGTGCATCACTTTAGTAATACTGGTAGGAAAAAAAACTATGTTGAAGGAAACCAGCAGAATCTGCCAACATTGCTCATAGGTAATGGTAAACAAACCCTTGATGGGCCATGCACGGTCCTTGGGCCACAGGTTGCCCACCATGGGCTTACAGGCTACAATGAAAATCAGAGCCCCACTGTGTTGGGCACTGCATAGTTAGTGACAGTCCTTGCCCTAAGAAGCATGTACATGGAATATCAGAAGATATCCAGGGAGTAGCTGCCTATTGAGAAATGTGAAGATATTAACCTATATAAAGATTGTTTAACTGATCCTATGCAATTCAGTACCCCAAACTTCCAGCTTGTTGCAAAATACTTCAGACATTCTGAATTTACTTAGAATTCAAAATCAGTTTAGTTCCTCTGCTCTGCCTATCCATGGTGCCCCACAGTTCCCTCCTGACAGGTATGAGAGGGGCCTGAAGACCTAGGCAGGCTTATAACACTGCTGCTGGATCTGTTTCAACATGACTATCCTCCTCTTAGTGCTAAATGTCTAACAGAACTCTGGTACATTGCATGCTGTCATCTTCTGATCAATGGGCAGGGTTAACTTAACCAAGAGTTAACTCTATGTGGATTGGCTAAAGCAAATCAAAGACGTCAAGGAAACAGATGACCAAGTTTGGCTCTGGACAAATAGTGAACAAGCTTAGGATGCAGCTAATGTGGTATTTAAGGGCTGTAGGGTTTCTCCATCGAATGAAGGGACCTGTCCTGCAAGGTATTCAGCACCTCTCCTGCACAGTGCAATGTCCAAGGCTGGCCATGACTTCCTCTCTCTCATCCCAAAGATCAGCTATCAGCTAAAACCATCTCCACCTTCACCACTTCAGTTCCTGTAGCCTCTTCTACAGCCTCCCTCGATACCTGCTCCAGCCTATACAGAAACACAGCCACTGGGATCATCTTCCACAACCACTGATCTGCATAGCACGTGCTGCACAGCTGCATCAAGTTCAAGTTTGCATTCACCCTCAAGGCCCTACCAGACTTCCACTCAAAGCGCAGACCCCTAAAGTGTACCAATTTAGAGCAGGCATTGTCATCAACGGGAAGGGAAGTCTTCTCTCTCAACCTTTCTCCTCTGCACTAAGTAAGGAACAGATTACTCAGGGTTTCTCTTTGACAACTAGTATGGAATGCTGAGCAAACCTAAACAAGAAGTCATTCTCCTGAGCTAAATGGAGCTTTCAGAATGTGCTCTGTCAACTGACCGTGTGCCATGGAAACTGGCAGGGTTCAAGAAGACAGAGAGAGAGAAGTTGCTACATCCCAGCACTTGACTGTTAATAGCATTTGATGTTCCCTTTGAGAATCAGCTGACATGCTTTGACTTCTGCGAAGTCTGTCTTGTGCTTTTTTTATACATCTCCCTGCCCCCACACCACACAGCCCAGAGTGCTGCAGCAAACAGGGTGTTAAACAGGATGTTTTCACACAAAGCTGGTTTGAGATAGCTTAGTTCGTCTGGTGTGTGTCTGTTTTAGTTGGATTGTCAAGGAGGCAAAACCTTGTTCCTACTCCTGTAAAATACAGAGCAGAGTGAAGAGCTTTAACGTCAAATACGTCTGGTTTGATTCATAATGAAAAACAATGGGACAATTGGGAGGGGCTGGAGTGAATGTTCCTCCACTGGACATATATAATCTTTCCCATAGATGTTATTGGTTTGGTTCCCAACTATCTGAAATTCTGTTCTATGAGCAGACATACAGTATTTATTACCCTTGCTGTGGATTCTGGCCAGTCAGCTCACAGTGATAGCTGTGATAAATCAGGGGGATTTGCAATAAAGTCTTACAGCTGCTTTCGGCAGCCTCCAAACAGATGTAAGCTGCTACTTCCTAGAGAAACCTACAGGTGGGGGAAAAGGCAATCTCCTCTAAGACATACTAAGATAGCTTCTGCTCAGTCACAAGCAACAGCTCTGAGTTGCCTTCAGATAAGTCCCTCTCAGAGCAAACATTTTTGCCACCATCTGTTGAATTAAACAAGATCTGCTATGGAAGAAATTCTGTGCGGGGAAAGGAATGTCCAGTGCTCTTTACAATGGTCCTGTTGTCCCAGCCGGTGACACTGATTTATATTGTACAGTTCAGGTTGCAAGGATTGATTTTTATCCATAAATGTTGATTTCACACTGACAGCAAGTCTTTCCATCAATGATAATCATAATTTACAGCTAGGCTACGTCAGCAAAATGCTGCTTAAAAACGTACTAACATTTGATGTAAGGTTATTTATTTCACATATTTCGATGCATGATGTTGACAATTTGTGTTTTACTGGAGATGAGGGTTGAATTTTCTGAATCTCAATGTGATCATTAATGATTATTTCTGAGACCTCCACTGTTGCCCTTCTTCCCGCCCCAGAATTTCACACTTCTGTGAAAATTAGAATAGCTAACAATAGAGAAATGCTTCAAATACACATTGGTGAAATTATTCATTGAAATGAAAAACATAAAAATCAAATTCGGACCCCGGATTCCCTTGTTGTCCTATCTACAAGGACTCCCTTCCTCTGGTAGCAAAGACATTCAGTAAATGTCACAGTTTGCTGCCTCTCAGACAGAGAGCAGGTTCATGATATCAGGCTCTAATCTTCCAACTCAGAGGTCCTCCATCTTTCCCTTCAGGCCTTGCCTCTAGGTTCAGGCCTTGCCTCTAAGTTCTACTCTAGAAAAGCATATGAATCAGTATTTCACAAACTTTAACCCTCAAAGCCCACCTATCTGTGAAACCATATCTAGCTCTGGGGCAGCCATTGAACAGTGTAGGAGAGCATACAGAAAGCCACCCCGCTGAACTGCCGCAGGAATTCAGGAAGGCAGAATGCAATTACCATAGTGTGAATTTGGCCAGGACAGTGAGGGTATGTCTACACTACCACCCTAGTTCGAACTAGGGGGGGTAATGTAGTCATACCGAGTTGCAAATGAAGTCCGGGATTTGAATTTCCCGGGCTTCATTTGCATAAAGCCGGCCGGCGCCATTTTTAAATGCCGGCTAGTTCGGACTGCGTGCCGCGTGGCTACATGCGGCACGAACTAGCTAGTTCGGATTAGGCTTCCTAGGGGGGTAGTGTAGACATACCCTGTGGGTATTCATAAAGGCCCACGGGATCTTTCATAGCCAAAGGGATCAAAAACTTGATTTTCCATCTCCAGAATAGCAGCACAGTGCACTTGAGACACTGGCAGGAAATTGCTCCCACACTGACTGAAAAAAAGCAATCACCTACTGAAATTCTACTCCCTATAGCACGTGTGCGTGTATGTACGTGTGTCTCTACTGCTGTCCCAGTTCAATCTTGTTTGGACTGTGATCCTGTCTGAGTCAAAGTAGTTTGGTATGACAGATTAGATACACTAGCAAGACACAATGCCCCTCCTTCACACGTCATACCCACTGATCCATTATACCAAAGCTATTCTCTTAGGCCATATCTATATTAGACCCAGAAGGTTGGCTTAAGGCACGCAACTCCTGCTATTTAAATAACGTATCTGGAGTTGACGTACCTTAATTTAAGTCAAGCTTGGTGCCATCTTCACAGAGGGAAGTTGGCAGGAGCAAACACTCGCATTAGCTTCCCTTACTCCTTGGAACTGCAAATACTGGTGTCAACTGGAGCTGCCCTCGTCTTTATTACACCCACTAAATTGAATGCCAGAAGATCAGTCTCCAGCATGTCGCTAGTTGAGGACTTGCTCTCTCAGATGGGCCATGCTTTCTTTCGGTTTTGCCTATGCCCAGGCAGTGGTGGTCAATAGGCACTTTACTTCAGCTCTCGAGCAGGATGCAGGCGATGGCACTAGAGAGACTAGTGGAATGGGGTTATCTATGCACCTCGTGGGACCTTGATAGGCCCACAATTTATATCTGTTTCAGACATCAAATCCGCAGATATCTACTTTATATCTACGGGTATCCGCATTCGTGAATATGGATGCAGATATCAGCGGTTTATTTTTGTAGATATAGATACAAATTTTGTGTCCACACTGCGCTCTAGCAATCTAGGCATCTGGTCACAAATGAGGACATTACCAGAGCCTCCTCTCCTTTAAACCCTCACCTACAACAAAGTGGTGAAGGGCTCTGGCTTCAATTAGCATGTGACTTTAGGGTGGGGGAAGAGAGCAGGCAATGCGGTCTGAAATACTCCCCCTCCGAGCACAGTCTCTTCATTTGTGGATACCTTTCCCTTCCCCTCTCCATCTCCCCTCGGCTTTATCCGTCACTGGACCCCAACGCATCTGGTTTTAGACTGAAGGTAACTGGAGGAGGCCTTCTAAAGCACGACAGTATTTCTTCCGCTTGGATAAAGGAGGGGTAGCAAGGCATCAATAATTACTTTCTTCTTGCACCCCACCCCACCACCCTCATGGGATACAATTACCTTCACAGAACTTCCAGAATGGAAAAACCCACATCTCCTGCTTACCTGGGACTAGCCAACAGGTCAGCATACAGGAATGCTTTCACCTTTTGTGGTGCGCTATGTTTGAGGAGATAACCCTGAACCAAAACCTCATTTCTGACCAGCCAGAGTATACTTCTCAGTCCTTGGCTTAGGCCCTTGCTATCTAGATACCTAAATCCCCTGCTAGTCACTGAACATTGTAAGCTTCACAAAGCTGCAATGATAGGTGTAAGCCTCATTTTGTGTTGTGATAACAAGTAGGGACCCTGAGCAGCTTTTGTACTAGGAGCTGGACATGGATGGAAGTAGACAGTCCCTTTTTTATGTAAGGGGACTGTTAGCCCCTTACTAAAACTCTGTGGGAGTTTTTGGTTTGCCAGCTCCCAGTATCAAAAGGGGAAGGGTCTATGAGACTGACAGACCCCAGAGACAATGGAAAGCAGCCAACACCAGCTCGGCCTGATTGACAGGTTGGACAGGCCAGTGACGGAAGTAAGAGGCCAGGCACCGTCCTCCGTGTGAGCTGGAATTTTTCTCGGTCTCTCTGAGCAAGGAGAGGGGGCTGAGAGACAGCTAAGAGGAGCAAGCTGTGTGGAGAGGCAGTCCTGCAGCAACACAGCCAGGCACACACAGTCCAAGGAGTGCAGACCCTGTGTTGAGCAGCAGACTGGCAGTGCTTAGAGAGCCAAAAGGGACAGAGAAGCAACGCAAGGAGCTGGAGACTGGCAAAGCAGCACAGCCTGCAGCTGGATGTGGTGAGCAGCTCAGACCAGCAAAGTGGGGGGAGAGGCTCTGGGCAGGGAGATATCACCAGCCAAGAGGCTCAGCAGGCCAAACTGGGAGAAGGGTCTGACCACCTAGAGCTTGAGGCTGTGTGGTCACTGCCAGAGCAAGCATGTCCAGCCTGCAGCCCCCCCGCCTGCAGCACATACAGGGCCTCTAAGGAAGAGACTATGGACTGTCCTTACACTCTGCAGACTGCTGTTTGTGATGGCCCCATGCTACAGAGCAGGACTGTGTGTTCTCATTTAACCTTTCTCATTTTTTCTTATTCTTTTCTCTCTAATCAGTTGATGTTTAATCAATTGTATTTGCTTTGAACTTTATGGAATGATCACTGGGCCAAGAAAGCATGCAATGTGACGAGAGCACCCCGGAGTGGGGACACTCTATCCCCTGCCCCAAGTGACTACAAGGTCGGGGTCTAAGCCCCAGGAAACCTGGGCCCAGCCTTGTTGGGGTTTCGAGGACTCTGCTACTCAGGAGAGTGGAGGGGGAGCCCTCAGGATCAGGGAGGCTGTGGAGTAAAGGAAGTGGGAGTGGGGACTCAGATCCTTTCGTTGGTCCATTTCACCGGGGTGGTATAGAACTCAGGAAAGTTCCCCACCATAGCGGGACCATTCCCCCGCTTACATTTATGATGGAGGCCACAGTCAACAATCCAAGTCCGATTTAACAAACAGAAGTCAGGGCATGCTAGCTGCCTAACCACTGTCAAGATCTAGCCCCTGATGGGTAAAGAGATGAAAATGCAATTTGTTTTCTTCATTGAGCCTCCATTGATCATCTTTCATGCGTACCTTTTTGCACCATTATGTATATTTTAACACAAACATGGTTTTGACTCCACTGTACTGCAAATCTCCCCTGAAACACAAGTTCAGCCATCATATGCAGATGGTTTTGCCTAGTTCCACACCTCACTACCAGTGTGGCAAAGGTATATGCAGCCCTCTTTCACAGCAGCCTGCACAGCTCTAGCCTCCCAGCCTGTCAGCAGCATCAACATAAACCAGGCCTACAGATCACGGCCAGGGCAAGCAAATTTTAAGGAAATGCTCTTCCGTAGCCTCCTTGACCAGGATGTGCTCTTTTGGGCAAAGCATTGGTTTACCCTGCTCAGAATGTTTTTCCACTTGTTCATACAGTCACTTGAACTTCATTCCTCCTCTGTGAAGTGAAGAAGAAACACTGCAGCAGAATAGCCTTCTGCCATTCAGTGACACAAAGAAAAACACATGGGCAGAGTTAAGAGAAGGGGTTTTCTTGTGGGGCATGAGAACAGGATTTAATTATCACCCCAGGGGAAAGACCCAGTTCCTGTTTCCTTCAAGTTGCACTTCAACTTATGCTGGGGGGTGGGGAGGGGCAGGGATTATACCACTGGCTAGGAGACTGCCTGCATTCCATTACCTACATTCCTCCTCCACCCTCCGGAGAGGAGTATGGGTTTTGTGTCTGGCAGTCCAACATGCCAGTTCATGTTTCACATCAAGAGTTCAAAAGGGGAACTACAAAAAGAAAAGAATCCTCTTTTTCCACAAGAGCGGTCTTTTTTCCAGAAAGCGTACGTGTCTCCACCACCTCTAAGCTTTAAGTTAGTCGTGGGCGGGGGGAGGTGTCCTAAAACCCAAGCTGGCTAGTGATTTATACCTGGCCCAAATCTGTTCTCTGGATTTGGGTTTTAACACAAACATTTAAAGAACCTGATTCTGCAATGCTTGGCCATGTGTAACCCTTACTGGCTCAAATAATCCCACTGAAGTCAACAGGACTAGTTCTGTTTAAGGTCTGCACAGGAAAGGGTTTGCAGGACTGAATTTTAATAGTTCATATATGGACTCCAAGAAAGACTAGGATTCCTATGCTCGCCCTTTGCGAAAGGCTTCAGGATCCATTGATGAAGGAGAGAATATGATATTATATACACTGTACCCAAGCAGCATGGGAGAGCAAGTGATAAGCAAAGGAAAGGATTAAAAGCTGTTTGAATTCAGATCTGAAGTGGAGAGTCTGAGATGGAGAAACAAGGAGGCTGACAGATAGCACCAAGGTCTTCATTGCAGCTTGAATGGGCTAGAGCAGCACATGGAATACACATATGCCCTGATGTTTTCATGGCGGCATCTCCCAGAACATTAGCTGCCCTGGTATACCTTGTCCCAGCATGCTAGAATATACTTTGATAATGTAAATTTTAGGTGGTAAATGCTGTTGTTCCTTCAGAGAGGCATGCAGCTCCCTGGTGCTCTTCACCACAAAGCTAGAAGTGGGTGTGCAACAGCACTGCTTGTGCTTTAGTCGTATGTGATAGCTAAGAAATGCTTCCCCTGCCTGGACTTAAAGCGACATGTGGTGGGAGCTCCCAGGCAGGGCTCCCTCACGGTGTCTCACCAGCTCACTGCTTGGTAAAGCCCAGCCCAGGTTTCCTCTTGTGTCTCCCATCCCCACCCCCACCAGCAGGGCTCCCCTCTCCAGAGGCCTGGGCAATAGTTATCCATAGTCAGGTGAGCCTGTTAGAGGAACTGGTTTGCTCTGGATAGTCTTTACCCAGGGAATAAGTTGCTGTAAGCCCTGGATTTGGATTCTGGAACTGCAGCTGCTCGTTTCTGCTCAGTGACAAGCCAGGGCACCTCGCAGCACTAACCTGACTCCCATCTTGCAGTCCATAACGCAGGGGGAGTCAAACTCAGCCAGCAGGTCTTCCATCTGATTGTACCTCTCCCCATCCTTCACCACGTCCCCGTGGTAGGCAGGAACAAAGGGTTTAAGGACATCATTCATCAAGCGGTCCAAGCAGCGCTGCTCAGATTCACAGTGCTTCTTGAGTATTCGCCCATTAGCTGCAGCCTTGAAACTACCTGAGAGACAAAAGGCAAGACAGTGCATATTCGGGTGCCAAATACCCACTTTCGCAGAGGAGAGCAGACAAATAGTCATGAAGCCTCCTGCCCCTGCTGACATCCCCACCCAGAACAAACAAGGTGAAATGAACTGCTATTGAGTGTTACCTAGCGCCAAAGATTAACAGAGGTAATTGCTGACATGACAGACCTCAAGTGAGAGTCAAGGCTGTACATACTACTCTTCTGGGGGGACTCAATCATTCCTTCCCTGCCTCCCAAATCACTGCCTCTAAGCACAGTCTCTCCCAGGGACTAGTCCCTAATGACAGAAAGTAACACTCATGAACATTGCTGCATGGCAGGGTTTGAACTTGGGACTTTCATCAGTCAAGCACCAACCTCTACTGCTCGAGTGACAGGAGTAACTCCAGCATTTGACAGCACCCTGTACAAACTAGCATTTAGATCAGTCCCTCCCTCATGCCCCTGCTTCCCCAGAGACAAGGCTGATTCAATGTGAACACTTAATGAGCATCACAGCGACAATGTAGGCCAATGCAGCTAATTAGTGCAATAATCAAGAGACTTTCCAGTACACCGTGGAGGGCTTCTTTGATGACTTGACACAGCTCACACTTCCATACCTGCATGCCCTGCTAGTTGGATCCAAGGATACTTTTTCTTGAAGGACATAACGAACGGGGACCAGTGTACCATATTTTTGATCTTCCGCCATGACTTGCTCTAAGGAAACAGAGAAAGGCATATAGTGGGTCAATGTTTTTCTGTTCATAAAACTGGGAGCTCTTTAATCTCCAGTCTAGCTTGGAGAGCAGGTTTGTGGATTTTTGGGATGAGGAAAGAAAGCCAATACTGAAGAGAAGAAGAGAAAGGAGCACAGGGAACACTACTTCACCCCTTTCTCTTCTGCCCTTGTATGCAAATAAGTCATTGATCTCAATTATCAGTTCACACTGGCTTAAATCAAGAATGTCTCCATTGAAGTGAATGGAGTTTCAGTTTTACACTGATTCTGATCATGCTTTCATCAGAGTCATCTGCTATCTTCTCTCCATCTCTTAAATTTCCCCTTTAGGAGCAAATAGACAGACAACTCATTTTTGGGATGCACCCTGGACAGTGTGTGTGTTAGAATTCTAGGAGACCTAGTAAAATTTTGCAGATATGCCAGTGTTTGGCAGGATGGCAAAATTCCACTGCAGATCCACAAACAAAAGCCTATTTTTGTTTCCATTGGAAGACAGCTGCTTTGGTCATTAAGTACTGAGTCCGTGAGTGTCTAATTGACCAGCCAAACCAAGTGAATCAGCACATTTTAGAGAACAATTCCCTTCTGGCATATGGCATTTGTTATTAGATAGATTTATTAGTACAAATACTTGTATGCATGAAGGCGGGTTTGTTCTCAAAACATAGGAAAGCTTCTTTCAAAGATGCAGTTTTTCCTGAAGAAAGTTGTTTTCCCTAAACTGTGCTGATGGAACACATAGCTTATAAACAGCAGAGATATTTCTTATCTTTGCACCAGAAGGCTGTGCAAACAATCTGTGCAGGCTCTATACAACAACAATGGGAAAATGCCTAATTGCACAGGATGAGACAACCAGTGCTTTTGTCCTGGGGACTCAGGAGCAACTGAGTTCAGTTTGGAAGTGACATGACAGTTACCTTCGTTTGCTCAATTTTAAAACACATGTAAGAGAGCAGCTGCCTCTTCCCATACAGTCTGGAGAACTAAGTTTCACCCCTCTCAGTCTGGTCAATGAGCGATCCATCATCCCCAGTCCTTAGGGCATTTACTTAGAGTAAATCACAGACCAGAGCCAGAAAGCTAATATTGTAGCCAAGGCATTAGGGAGAAGGAATTGATCTGGGTGCAATGAAAAGATCAGAGGTTTTAATTTCCTAAGCCTTCATACTGGAAATCACCATAGTATGAGTCTGTAGCCTTAGGAACCATAGTACTCATCAAGATTGTTAAGAGTAGCTATATGAAGTGTCAGCAGCAGAGAAACACAGATGTGTAGTGGCCACCGCGCTAAACTCAATTTTGAGACAACTCTCTTTGCTATCTTGGTGGGATTTTATAGGATGCTGAGCCATGTGGCATTAAAAGTTTTAACATTTAACTGTAAGAAGTGTGCACTAGGTTATGCCAATTAAACATGGACCCAACTAGGGGAGAATGTGAAGCCACTTCTCCTCCTGGGAAGTTCAGGGAATCCCTCCCAGATCGCCATACACAGGACAGAACAGGTTTGAGCCTGGCCCCCCAAGGCAGTATGGGAGGAGACAAAGCCAGATATCCTTGTGAGACACTGTGAGGGACTAGCTCCTGCATTCCATGTGATGTCAGGCTCTTGCATGGGATGTGCAATGGAGGAAGGGAGCCAGGCATACCATCTCTCCTGCCAGAGCACATGGATTGGCCACTCACCCTTAGGGTATGGCTAGACTACACATTTTTGTCAGAAAAAGGTATGCAAAAAGCATTGTGTCCCTTTCCCCCGATTCTTTTGTCAGAAGAGGCTTTTTTGACATTTGGCCCGTCTAGACTGGGCCAAATGTTGGAAAAAAAACCCTCTTTCGAAAGGCCCCTTCTTCCTTGTAGAACGAGGAATACAGGGGTTTTTGAAAGAGCACGTTAGCTCTTCCACAAAAAAAAGCAGAAGAGCAAATGTGTTCCCTGGATGTGGCGGAGTTTTTTTGGGATATCTCTGGTATCCCGAACCTCCACACACACACCCCCCTCCACAGGCTAGCTGTACCCTGGTTACAGGGGAATCAGAGGTGTCAGTCTCATCCCAGGCTTGTTTTCAGACCAAATGTTTGTCAAGAACATTTCCAAAACACTGAGATTACCTGGAGCATACATCTCCCTTGAATTTTGCTGTTCAGGATTTATTTATTGGAGCTGCAGTTTTACCAGGTTGGGACAAGGATGCAGAAGGTAGCTCCCTACCTGACGTGTGGATGAACACTTTCTTTCCAAGTAAAAGGCCAGAAGTTGTGTGCTTTGACTGTTCTTTGTTCTTACTTGGCAGAGAGCACAGGGGCTTTTCCCTGTCCTTTTGTTTTCAAAATAGAAACACTGCATTCCCACTGTCACTGACTGATTTTAAAAGGGACTCCAGCCTGCATGGGAGCTAGGCTTCAGATCAATAGGACCCAACTTGTCTAAAAGGGGGGATCCTCCCACCAACGCGGAACCATAACTCACTCAGTCTCAGGATACAAGCCAAGGCAACGACTGTTCTCGAGCCAAGATTTTGTTTTTTGGTGGTTAGAGGTATACAGCAAAAGCCTTGATGTGCTTCAGAGCAGGAGCGAAGTGATGCCAAGTGGCTCCCAGAGTAGAGGTGGCCATCCCAATTCCCTCCCCCAGCAGAGGCTTTGAGAGATACTGTATCCAGATAGGTCCTGCTCTGTCATCCTGCCCCACTTCTCCTCCTCCACCAGACCTTACTGGCAAAGGAAATAGTTCTCACAACTCTGCGATGGGCTCAATCCCTGCCTCGGCAACTATTTATAGCTAGTGTGCTAGTGAGCGGGCACTGAGAACACTTTCTAGTCAATTAAGCAATACAGAGCTCTAATGGCCAGCTGAACCAGGGGCCAGGGCAGAGGGGCTGACAGACTCGCCGGGCCCCTGCGCAAGGTGGGATGGGGGATGGCTCCATGCTTCTGGAAGGGACGAGGCCTTGAGCAGAAGGGGCAGGGCCAGGGCAGCCATCCCCCAGAGCTGCTGGGACCACGCCCCCGCTCAAAGCTGCCCAGAGTGTACCACACGGGGTGCCACCGGTGATTTAAGGGGCCCAGGGCTCCAGCCGGCAGCAGCAGTCAGGAGCCCCAGGCTCCTTTGAATCACCAGGCCCTGGGGCAGGTGTCCTCTTTGTGCCCCC